GTTCGTCCATTGTAATGGCAGCCTGAGATAAGGGGATTGGGTTCGATACGCCTGAGCTGGTCCGGCGGGTTGGACTCGTCTGCGACCTCTGAACGCATTTTTGTAGTTTTTTCCGTAGCTTTGGGCACCTCGCCGGCGACGTGTCCGAACCGCCTTCTGTCAAGTTCAGTTCCATCGTGTAGTGGGGTAGTGCTAATTCAGGTGGCGCGGATAATAGTGACCGATCAAGTGATACAGGCACTGAATAAACATTTGGAATTATTTGTTTGTGTGAGCTGCCATGCGAACGAATAGAGTTTATGTGTTTAGGTAAAATTTGTTACCACGACTCGATCGAGAAAAATGACGTCCAGATAACCTGCAGAAGAGCCACACAGGAGCCACTCACACCATCGGGGCGACCGACAGCCGGAGGTCATTGCGGTTCAACCACCGCCGTTCCGAACTGTCCACGGCCGGTCCCCTGCCTGAGGTTCTCTCATCGTCTCTTTAAGCGATCAATCGGCCTGAATCAGGGAAGTTGAGCAGTCCGCGACGGCGAGCAAGGAATGTCCTGTCACCCGAACGGTCGAGCTCGCCTTCTGCGAGGTCCAAGCTCTCAAAATCAGGCCACCACGGCCACTTCTGCTCTGGCCGCGTCTGAAATTGCCGTCAAATTCTCGTTGGGCCTGACTGAATCAGGGAATTTGCCTGAAATTTCCTCACAACTTGTCCCTGGCAGTGAGTAGTACCGAGTCAAACGCACGTGCGCCGTCCCATCAATGTTAGTGAGAAGCTTGATCTCGAAAACCACTGAAACGTATACCAAGAGGGTCTCGGCGTTTTCGGACGTGATCAAGAGAGCTGAGATAGTGGCTTTTCAGTTGACCACTGAAAATCTTGAAAAATCGATGACGCCAGCGGTTGAGTGGGTGATTTCATGAAGGACTCGGAGCATGAGATGGAAACAAGGTGCAAAAGAGGCAACCACAGTGGCCATTATCAAAACCTGGAAGGCCGAATGCCAAGACACCCAGATTCCATGTTGGAGCGATGACTGGAAGTAACGTATCTCTCAAACATTACCAGTAGTTCTCAGAAACAAGGACTACCAGTCACGGTGTATTCATTTGGTGCTTGTACAGAGTCCAGGACCAAGAGCAATCATTTACACAGAGCACAGTATACCCAGTTCGATTCTGTTTTGTTGTGGCTTCAATCATCGTTTAATGTGTTTGGCGCTGAGTGGAAAAACCCACGCTTGGGTCATTCAGCCCTTCAACTTGCGTATCTCAGGTCGTACGAAACTGTGCATACTCACCACCACGTTGCGTACTGCACACGGGGAATTACATGTCGTCCACTCCACCGAAATCGGATGGCTCTGTGGTTCCGTGACCGAGAAGAAGGAGATGTTGAGCTCACGAGATTGTCTGCCTTTTGAAGACCAGGAACATTGAATTCCGGGATGGCTGTAGGCTGCGAATGCCGGGCTATCCATCACGAGCCGGGTCAGTCTCAGGCTTACGGCGGCAGCGGCAGGATCGTCTAAATCACAGAGTGCAATAGAGCAGGATTTACCTATTACATATCTAACGGTGAGGGCATACGAGTTTTTAAAGTATCTAGCTGTCTGTGACTTATAGAAATTAAACAAACCCTAGGCTCAGTTTCTTCAACGGGGAGGATACACTTTCCAAGTTTAGCACCCCAAGCAACCAAGCCAGCTGAGGACTACCTTACCTACCTCAAGCCTTTAGACTTACATAGTTACCGAAGTTAGTAGTATCATTCACGCGACATGCTAGGTTACCCGCTATGAGGCAAACCATCGTCCTCATCAGTGGCACTATGAAGAGCAAGTTCCGTGGTGAAAGTGTAAGAAGTCGTGCGATAGAGAAGCTAAGGGTACTGTGATTAGATACATACGGCGTACTTTAGTCTGCCGCCTTTTCTTTGATTTCAAAGACCAGGGCCAATGGACCATATTGACAAGATGTCGCATTCTCAGCCAAACAATCAAAGTGTGGTTTTGATTCATCACTGCTATATGCAGGAGATATTTCGTGCTTTAAAAAGGACCACGTGATTCACCTTGAGCACTCCACGATCTCGCAATATTGATGTGGGTCCCTGTATCCGTATCTTGTTTCTCGTTCTCTCCTGGCCGTTGTTCGGTGTTGACCGACACCGCATCTCGGTCCTCGAGCTCATTTAACCCGACTTGCCCGACTGTAAGGACAGTGGGGAATTTGGAGACGATATCCGCGGCATCCACTGAAGCCGCCGTCGAGTCCGCAGTAGGTAGGCACTACTGAGCACTTCCCCATGGGCAATGATTTATCCATCAATCATAAGCCGTGCCTTCCGCGGACAGGGATAACTTTTAACCCCACCATGCCCCTCATTCCCGGTCTCGGGCCCACGCCCGCTCAGTATCGGAAGTGGGATGGCCATGTTGCGCGGCGGCATCGACTTGCCATGATGATTGCCGGACTCAGACGGGATCCCTAGCAGCGAGGGAAAATACTTGAGAAGTGTCGTCCACTTGCTGTGGTTCTTCCCTCCCCAATCATCCTCCTTCCGTTTCTCGCATTGAACGGCAGCTTCGAGAAAGCAGACACAGTTACATCGACGAGAGCAGCAGCAGCAGCAATGACCGACATCACCATCACGGGTTGGAAGACGCGCGATGTCCGCTTTCCCACCTCGCTGGACAAGACAGGCTCAGATGCCATGAACGCGGCCGGCGACTACTCAGCCGCCTACTGCATCCTGGAAACGGATTCCTCTTACACGGGGCACGGCATGGTAACAAGCACCCCCTCCTCACTTTTCTCAGGTTCGTTTCTTCTAACACGCGGGCCAGACCTTCACCATCGGCCGCGGTAACGACATCGTGTGCGCGGCCATCAACCACGTCGCCGAGCGCATCAAGGGCCGCACCCTCTCCAGCTTGGTGGCCCACTGGGGCCAGACATGGCGCCATCTGGTTAACGACAGCCAGCTCCGCTGGATTGGCCCTGAGAAGGGTGTCATTCACCTGGCCCTGGGTGCCGTCGTCAACGCGCTCTGGGATCTGTGGGCCAAGACGCTCAATAAGCCCGTCTGGCGCGTCGTGGCCGACATGACGCCGCAGCAGTTCGTCGACTGCATCGACTTCCGCTACATCACCGATGCCATCACGCCCGAGGAAGCCCTCGCCATGCTGACCGAGTCAGAGGCGGGTAAAGCCGAGCGCATCCGCGAGGCCGAGAACAGCCGGGCCGTGCCGGCCTACACCACAAGCGCCGGCTGGCTCGGCTACGGTGAGGACAAGATGCGCGCCCTGCTGCAGGAGACACTCGCCAAGGGGTATCGCCACTTCAAGCTCAAGGTAGGCGGCAACGTTGAGGCCGACCGGCGGCGGCTGGCCATCGCGCGCGACATCATCGGCTACGATCGCGGCAACGTGCTCATGGTGGACGCCAACCAGGTGTGGTCGGTGCCCGAGGCGATCGCCTACATGGAGCAGCTGGCCGAGTTCCGGCCTTGGTTCATTGAGGAGCCAACATCGCCCGATGACGTGTTGGGTCACCGGGCGGTGCGCGAGGCGCTGCGGCCCCACGGCATCGGCGTCGCCACGGGCGAGATGTGCCAGAACCGTGTCGTCTTCAAGCAACTGCTCATGGCGGGCGCCATAGACGTATGCCAGATCGATGCCTGCCGCCTGGGCGGCGTCAATGAGGTGCTCGCCGTTCTCCTCATGGCTAAAAAGTATGGGGTTCCAATCGTGCCCCACTCAGGCGGCGTCGGCCTGCCCGAGTACACGCAGCACCTCAGCACTATCGACTACGTCGTCGTCAGCGGCAAGCAGTCAGTGCTGGAGTACGTGGACCATCTGCACGAGCACTTCCGCTACCCCTCCGTCATCAAGGATGGCTTTTACCAGACGCCGACTGAGCCCGGGTACAGCGTCGAGATGAAGCCCGAGAGCATGGACCGGTACGAGTTCCCCGGGGGTGAGGGCAGCTGGTGGAGGAGTGAGGAGGCAAGGCCGATATTGGAGGGAGAGAAGATATAAGTGGGGATTTCGGTCCAAGTTGCCCCGAAGTTGATGAATCGTTTGTGTACTCATTCATGACTTTTAAAAGTAAAAGCACTAGGGATAGAAAGTGGTAGCGGCGGTCCAATTGGGTAATCGAATGACTTATTATCAAGTAACTGGTGACATTGTACGAGATGGATGGGAGGAAGGAGATGACGGTGATCAAGAATTTTTGTCGCTCAGCAACTTACGCATTGTATATTTTGCGTCCTGACGTCGAACCCAAGCGGAACATTGCATTGAACGGCGGAAAGCTTGAGGCGGTCTGGGAATATATATATAGACAGCGCAGGTGCCGCCAATGACTGCCCACCAAGTCCAGAAGGTGTCTACGTACCCATAATATATTGGTTAAATGATTAAACGAGACTCAGCTATGAAAGTCGTCGCAATCAAAAGCTGCTAGTAACACTGTCGCCTTCCCGACTACGCTTGGAACTCGGGTAATATACCTACGAAAACTCCCCTCTAGTGTGGTGGGTCCCAGAGTTAAAACTGAGCACTACTCAGAGCATAGTCCCTCCACTTCGTGTGAAGTGATAACATATATCTCAGTTTGACCGTTAGAATAGTGAACGTTAACCGATAGTTACCGAAACGATGTGCTGCTGTCAAACAGGCGCCTACATGCGTTCTGCCTCATGCACATAAACCTGGACATCCAGGTGACTCGACCGAATCCGTGTTTCATGCATCGTGTGAGTGACAGAGGATAAGTGGAAATGATCGTCCGCATCACATTGTTCATTGTTATCATATGAGCCACGTGCCTGACTTAAAAATTATTCGTCTAATGTGACTGCTTAATACAGCCTCCCGAAGCTTGAAAAGACCAAGCAGATTGCTGTGGCGCAAATCGCTTCTTCTTGAGAGATCTCAATGCAATCCTTTGTTGACATGCCTGGGTAATTTAACAAAAAAATATAAATTGTACTAGCGGAAACTCGTTTCGATCGAGTGACCTCCGGGTTATGAGCCCGGCGCGCTTCCCCTGCGCCATTCCGCTGTGTGTTGCTATTATTAGCACAACATGATGTTTATTGATATTCATTTTTACAATGTAACAGACATACAAATCAAAACCACGCATCAACAACTACGCAGATACGAGGTGTTGAACTTATTTTTAACCTACAATCACTTATTCATCATCAAAGCATGAAATCTAAAGTCCTTCTTCTGATTGTCCACTGGAGGTATCATGTCACAGAGGGCATTGGTTTTGAGACGGTTCAAGAGCATTCGCTTGGTGGATTCTTGTCAAGCAAGCAAGGTGTGGCAACTTTGCACCCATCATCTCTCGGTGCTGTACGACTTCCACTATCACATCTTCGAGAGACCGTGTCCAAATTCTTCATTCCCAGATCAAGGCACAATTGCGAGGGGTAAGGTTAATCTAAGCCTTCCACCACCGGAAAGGCTCGCCATTCCTTTTATACGTCGAACATCTGAGGCTCTCCCGCTAGAGTCGGCATCAGCCCACATAAACGCTCCGTCTTTGGCAAGCCATCATCCGCCCTGACGTATTGTTCGAGTACGCCGCGTGCCGAGGTCGACCCTTACCCACAAAGCACAGGGGGTTGTCGTCGGCAGCCACTCGCTCAGCCGTCACCCCTTGACGTGGCCGGCGGTGGCAACTTCGAGTATCTCTTTCTCCAAGCCTGCCACATGAACGACGGATATCCCCGCCTGCTCAAGGCTCCTCTTTCCGGTGTTCTCAGCCACGAACGTAGCCGGCTCAATGATCCCGATGTAGACAGTCCGGATCGACCCAGCTAGCCGGAGCACCCTTTCAACGCACGGCAGGTTTCCGCTCAGCCGTTCAGAGCAGGGCTCAACGGTGGTGTAGAGGGCAAGTTCGGCCGGCAAAACCGACTTGAGATTCTCCTCTGGAACCCCGTGCGTCGCTGCCAACTTCATGAAGCAAGTCTGCTCTGCGTGCGTGTTGCCCGGCAGCTCGAGTGTGTAACCAGTGGCGAGGATCTCGTTGGCGGCAGAGTCTACCAAGACGGCGCCAACGCGGTAGTTTGTGGGCTTCGGGGGTGACTTTTGTGCCTGTTCCAGGGCAAGCTGCATGTACGCCTTGTGATCTCCTGGCGCTATGGTAGTCATGTTGTTCTTTGTAGGTGGTACCAGTGAAGATGCTCAGCAGTTTTAAGAGGAGGCTTGAGACCCATTGGCGTACCTACCAATGTACTTAATCGCACCGTACAAAGCTGTGGTTGGCACAAATCCTACACTGTATTCCTGCCCCACTTCCGCGACTCTGCGACACGACGCGCCCCCAATTCCATTAATTCATCGAGCTTCAGCACAGTGCAACAGGCCCCAAACACATAACAACATTCACAATGTCTGCGCATGACGATCTCACCGAGGGCGAGCCGCCTACAATTGATCCGTATGAGGTCCTCGGCCTCGAGCGCACTGCCTCACCAGACGAGATCAAATCGGCGTACCGCAAGACCGCCCTCAAGACCCACCCGGACAAGGCATCAGAAGACAAAAAGGACGAAGCCAAGGAGAAGTTCCAGCAGGTTGCCTTTGCGTACGCCGTTCTTTCGGACCCCGTCCGCCGCAAGCGCTACGACGAGACCGGTTCTACCTCGGAAGCGGTGGTCGACTCCGATGGGTTTAGCTGGAGCGAGTTTTATCGCGAGCAGTACCGCGATGCCGTTTCCGAGGAGGCCATCAAGAAGTTTGCCGCCGAATACAAGGGGTCAGAGGAGGAGAAGGACGATATTCTGGCAGCATACGAGGAATTTGAGGGCGACATGGACGGGGTCTACGAGTCAGTGATGCTGAGCGACGTGCTTGAAGACGACACGCGGTTTCGGGAGGTCATTGACGCCGCCATCGAGGCCGGAGATGTGCCCCGCTTTGACGCCTACGCAAAGGAGACCAAGAAGTCCAGGCAGGCCCGTGTCAAGGCCGCCAAGAAGGAGGCCCAGGAGGCGGACGAGCTGGCTAGAGAGCTGGGCGTCTACGACAAGCTGCGCGGCAGCGGCGGGAAGAAGAAAAGCAAGAAGGACTCGGAAGCTGGCCTCGCGGCGCTGATCCAGCGGAACCAGGCGTCCAGGGCGAGCGCGCTGGACAAGCTGGCGGAAAAGTACGGGGCCGTGCCCAAGGCGGGTAAGGGGAAGAAGAGGGGTGCCAAGGAGCTGGAAGAGCCGGATATCTCTGAGGAGCAGTTCCAGGCCATACAAGCGGGTATGATGAAGAAGAAAAAGAAGAAGCGTAATTGAGGAGACGATTTTCCTTGGCTTGACTCGGCGTCTGGACGGTTGGAGTGTCTGGGTTTGATGCGAAATGAGTTTGATCCCGGGTAACAGGGTTTTCAAATGGCGTATGGGTGGCTCGGGCCGCGTTGGCGTTAGACTTACGGTCGTTGATTCAGACTCAACCGAGAATATTTGTGGTTATGTCTCAGGAATTCAGCCGTTGGTCCCTTTACGGCTTCGAGTGTTTCAAATAATCATTTACTACCGTCATCCATGTAAAAGTCCTGACCGGCTTGGTAATTCGACCGCTAAACACATCATATGATTGAATAAATCCCGCAAAAATCCCTTTTTGCCTTCCATTAGCAGATGGAAGACCATTGACCGAAGGAAAGATTGTCCGTGGGATCAATGGCACTGTGACCCCAAGTGCTTCATCCCTCCCTTATCGGGCCGCGAATCGGCGTCACCTGGCCAACGCGCACAGGGCAGCCCTGCAAGCCCGCTCGGTAGCGCTGCCTGAGGTCGTTCGTGAGGGGCACCTCTGGCACGCTTTCCTTCCGCAACCCCCGTCTCAACACGCGATGGCGACAGTGTGTGAGAGGCACTGGCAAGGTTTCGCCATTCGCGGCCAATGATATACATCGACACAAATCAACGCATTCCGTGAGAGGTTGCATTTCAGGTCAATTGACAAAAAAAGATGCCATGACCGACGCGACGGAGCCTGAACTCTACCCGCAGTACTGTTTTCACCTGTCGCCAACTATCAATCGCTGGTGCCACTTCCGCATCAGGGACATCTTGGCGCTTAAGAGTCATCCGGGGTTTCGGGGTAGGTCGGACCAGTCGCGGTCCACGTTCAGGTCTCACGTGCACCACCACCGCTTAACTAACTCAACCACACAGGCCAGGATGTCTACTTTCACATCAACCACCCGGTGAAATGGGTGCGCATCTCCGGCGTGGTAGTTGCAGTCGAGGAGCGCGAAACGAGACACTTCTACACAATCGATGACGGCAGCGGGGCGACTCTCGAATGCGTCGTCAAGGTCGCGCCTCGCACGGCACCCGGCCCAGCACCCGTGACTGCGGCCACGGCCGCGACCACAGATTCAGCCGGAAACTCGAAGACGCTTCCGCTAATCGACGCGCCGATTGACGTTGGCCACGTATTGGACATCAAGGGCAGTGTGTGCACATTCCGCGACAACAAGCAGATTCGTGCCGAAAAAATCGTCCACCTCCGCTCGACGGAGCAGGAGGCGGTTTTCTGGGAGAAGATCGTGCAGCTCCAGACTGACGTCTTGTCAAAACCCTGGATTTTGGACAAAAGAGAGGTGAGGAGGTGCCGGAAGGAGGTGGAAGCGCGTGACAGTAGCCATCGCCATCGCAGAACCGGCAAGAGGCGCAGCAGCAAATGTGGGGAGAGAACAGGGTTGGAAAGGGTCAAAACAGGTCTGGAGAAGGCAAAGGCACCTCGTGAGGAGGAGGCGATGGCGAGAGTGAGGGCAACGACTTGCTTTGAGGAAAGCGAAAACAAGAACAGGCGCGAAGGCACGCCGGCCGCAAGGCGGCCGGTCAGGGTGACAGGGCTGGAGAGAAGGAAGACCGCTAAGCCTGTCACAGGGCTGATTCCGATGACGGGCAAATATGACGCCCTGGGACTGTGAATGGTGAGGGCTCAAAAACTCACGAGACGCTCTGTCTGATGCCTGTCTCACCTTTGCCTTAGCAACCCCCATATTGGTGGGTTTTGACAATGACCAGTTATTGGCCCGAATTGTCTACCTAAGTAAAATCGAACCGACCTTTGCTCTGGTTGGTTGCGGTAATTCGCATGCTTCAGGTCTGTCTAAAGCTAGCCAACAACCAATTACCTTAAAAAAAAAACCGAGTCAGAAGCCTGCCGAATAAACTTACAAGCCCCAAGTCTCATCTCTAAACTTGTTGAGACCTGTCATGCTCCTTCGGACGTGTTCTGCACCAAATCCTCATCCAACCCTCCATCTCGCCAGGAGTGTGCGATTCATCTGGGTTCTCTTCCCTAGTTCAGTTGCATTGCATTCGGAATCCGGTTCTGGAAAGGTGATCCATGTCAACGACACCTTGGACCCGCCGAGGTGAGACCGTCATCGGGACAGGCAAAGGGAGAGTGCCTGCCTCACGGGTCGGCCAAGATGCGACGACACGCCGTGCTGCTCGGTACCTGGGTCCACTTGCGAGCGGCTTCCAAGTCGCGTTTCTCGAAGCAAGCTCCAGCGCGCAGAATGCTTTAAAATGGGATATGGTCCTCTCCTTGGAGATGGTGAATAGAGCAACAAAGCTGTTTACCCACGCAGTACTCAATCCTGAGCATTCACTTGGGAGCATCGAGTATCGCACATCAGTTTTGCTTTGCCCTTTTCTGCACTTTGCCTTGATTTTATCCTTCTACTGTTGACTGTTCTTGGTTTCCCTTCTCCCGCTTTAGAGTCTCTAGCTCTCTCCCTTGGCATTAATAACTCCCCAGGTACACTAGGTAAGAGACTCGGCCACGGCCAATTTCATAATATCGAGGAAGGGCCGACTCAATTGTAACGTCACATCAGAATGAAGGCTAGGCCGATCAGACGCCCCTGGTTTAACGGCATGAATGAGAAGCCAAATACATATATGGGCCACTCCATCCCCAGCTTCAAGTGAATGCCAACCCAGGATCTTTGGGTGCGCTCGGAGTCGACAAGATGGAGCGGACATGGAGGTTGGTGATCATGCTGCTGACCGCTTTGCAGGTTGTCACCTC